GTCTGTCAGCCAGGTCAATTTTGTGCTCATCACCTTCTGTGATGACTTCCACCTTGCCAGACGTAATGGACAGTCTTGCTATCTGCACATCTTTCTTGGTTTGCTCCTCAGCCTTCTTGGTTTGATTTGCTTTTTTCTTGGAACATTCACTGAATCGATGTGGGGATGGCATTGCCAAGCAGTAGAGGCATGCACGCTCTTCACGTGCCCCCATCTTCTTCCGTGTCTGTCCTACTTACTTGTTCTGGTTGTATGTACCATTGTCTGGTTTGTGCCGTTTGTTAGCATTCGTAGAGTTATCCTCAACCTGCGTGTTTGTCTATGCGTTATTACGCTTGTTTGCTGCTCGCACCTGATCCCTCAACATATGCTCTGCTTGTGTCACAGCCGCCGTTCTTATGTGTGTCGCAGTCATAGTATGAAACTTGGCGTGGTCCATGTCGGACAAGTGTCCTTCACTCCCATCCGGTTGCTTGTCTCCTTCAATGAGAGTATCCACAACTGATTGCAATCTATAGTACTTAAGTGCTAGGTACCTTTGTACTTTGAGGATTTGGAAGTGTATGGGTTCCTTGTCTGAGTTGCGGTAACGTTCCTCCAACATCGCCATTGTCGTGTGCACACGCTCTGTGCGCACCTCGACGTTCATCTTCTTATTCTGCATGTCATTGAGAAACTTCTCCAATAGATCGTCTACTGGATGTGATAAGAGCCGGTCAATAATGATTCCATTGAACTGCTCAGGATCGGTGAAGTGCCTAGTTGCATGTGTCTCAGAATCTCTTAGATTGTTGAGTACTGATTTGGTCTTCTCCGTTGCATCAGTGGAATCCAAAAGGCTTCGCGCTAGTGCTGAATACTGACACGGAGGCATTGATTTAGCTAAGAACAGATCACTACATTGTGTAGTGAACTCTATGATATCTTCACATTTTTCCATTCTAAAGAAACTATCCTTAGGCATCTTAGGAAATTCAGAGGTCTTGAGCAATTGCTTAAGAGATGGTTCGTTTATCTGATCGCATAAACGTGAACGCATGAGCTCTAGCTCACTAATGTACAGACTGCTCTGGATGAGTTTGTCTTCCCCATCATCACCACAATCGTTGATTGCATGGTCATATCGTCGTCTGAGCTCCGCATCCACTAGTGGCATACGGCGCTCTGGCTGTTGATCATGTATGCCTACCCTCATCTTGTGCAGAGTTGGTATGGGCACAGGTGCTGTTTGCTCCAACTTGGACACAAACCGACTCACCAAGACATGATTGCCTTGACAGATAGTCTTGTCTATTTCTATACGCATTGCTGAGGCTAAGATGGGTACCCCCGCCGGTGTGGGCTGGCCCGAACTACTGCCTGGGCTTGGCCCCCCCATTGGGCTGACTCCCACGTCCCCCGCGCATTCACTGCCTGTCCCCCCCACTGTACACGCTTGTTCTGGTTGCTGTTGGCATTTTCAGATGTCTGCATGGTGTGTGGGTGATAGTGAATTATTAATAAAGATTCTGGTTATATATTT